AGGGGCCTTTAATATGAGTGTTCACATTTCAAAGTAGAGAGGAAATCTATAGGAAGCAAATAAATACAAATATTTATTCTTCCCACATATTTTGTAACTACCTTATTTCTGCAGCACCTGAAACAAAACTATGTGTGACAGCTTTAACAAAGCAGGAGATAAACACTTATATTTTTCAGGCAGGAAAAGAGAATGAAATGGAGGTAGGAGATAAAAATCATCCCCAAGTGCTCAGAAAGAGATCTGCAGGAGTGAACTCTGGATTTTTACTCTCAGATTTTAAAAAGAACAGGCTTCATGCATCAGTAGTTCTGAGGAAGGCATAAGGCAAGGAGCACACTTTCTAAAAGCCATTGCAGCTTATTGAAGCTACAACACACTGTGCGTGCCTCAAAGGCTTAGGAACAAAAGAACAGAAAGGTGAGTTTATTACCACTGCAGCCATAGGATGCTTATAACTCTAAATACAGCTCTCCAGTGATTTCCACAGCTCATGTCTGCAGAGACAGACACAGCCCATCACAGCGTCTCTCTGTTACTGGCTTCCCAACCAAATCTCAGTGACACTGAGCAAGCAACCAACAGCTCACTCAAAAGGTGATAAAGCAGAAATTCACTAATTGTAACTACTCTTTAACTTCTTCATTGTCAGTTGGTCTAATTAAGGTTTAACTGATGAATGTTTTCCCTATATGCACGCTGTTAAGAAGGTAAGTTCATTGGCTTGCTTGAAAGATTGAGATCACCTGGAACTTCTGACTGGTTTACCAGCTTTCCAGGGAGGGCTGTGAAGGAATAGCTGCAGTGAGACTGCAATGTATCACAAGGCAGCTTGCAGACCAATGACACCAAGTATTTAGCAAAAGTCTTAGGCTGAACTCTATCCCTTTTACAGTGCTCTAATGGGAAAGAATGAGGAAACAGGAAGAAATGTGCATATTTGAGGCAAAGATGTGCACTAAAGCTTTATAGCAGGTTCAGGGAGAGTTCAGTACTCTGCCCAACTCTCAAACTGTGTCTTACAGGACAATTCATCTCTATTTTACCTTAAATTCATCCTTTAGTTCATCTTTAGTATTTTAGTTTCACTGATAAAATGCATTTTTTCTTGACTCCATCTATACTGGGCTGTAATCTGCCACTCTTGCCTAAAATCAAAATATGTCTTGTGTAAAAATGTGGAAATATAAAAAGTGCTTCCCTTTATGGTATATGTTCCCATTTTAATTTCTAATTATTTGATTAATATAGAGAGCACTGCTCTGCCCTGTGATGACGAGTCACAAAGCAGGGAGAAGAGCGAAACTGCTTCCAAGAAAATTAAAAATCGGAGAGCTAAGTTAATTTGGAGGGACAGGTTCCTTTTATAATTTTTTTTTTTCATGTTAGGCTTTGGTCCTTGAATTCTCTTTAATTTCATTTCAGACACGTGCAGAACGCATGAGCTGCACATGAATATGAAGAAGCCATCTTTTGAAGCCTGCAGGACTGTGTGCTTATTTCGAATACACACATAAACCACCCTATGAACTACACTCGCAATAATAATTAGCAGTTAGGATGCTCAGTGTTAGTAGACCACCATTTACTCCATACATGATAACAGTACATGTATTATTTTCAGTTTTTAAAATACAAGTAAGAAGTGACTCAAAAGCCCCACTTTCTGGCCATTGTTCCTACAGCTATAACCATGTACTCTCACTGCTGAGCTCTGATTTTTTAATCTTGCTTCTAATAAACTTGCCGTAAACAATTTCATATAATTTGCATTTGTTTGGACTTTCTCTTTTGTCTCTTCTGTTTTTTTGGAGAGACGAGGGAAATACAGACAGTGAACGTACATGAAGAGAACAGGAATTAAGGAGCAGAGGAACTGATGAGAAGTTCTCAGTTCTTTATGATAACCCCAGCAGTTCCATTCATCTCCTTGTCATGCAAATCACTGCTTGCATATCCCTTTGTTTACTATGTATGTACATTTTTACAGAACTTTCTCTTACTTCCAAGCACTTTTATCTGAGGAACACGCAGCACGTTTCAGATAAACAACAACCATATTACATTTTATGTGTTAGTCTCTGCATTAGTTTATTCCAGATAGAACAAGAAACCCAGGTGCCTCAATATCAAGAGGAAGAGCTACTTGAGTTTTCATGGCAAGCACTGGATTGTTGCAGGACTTGCAGTTCTCATGAGATTGGCTGTCAAATGTATACACATAACTGTGAAGGAAGTTCTTTTGAGGCTTAGATAAACATTTGACTGTTTGAAACAAGGAAAGGAAAATGCAAACGTTGAAATGTATTTCTACAGTATTATCCTCATCTTCTTCCCACAGCTAAGAAAATCATTTTGTTGTGGATGCTTTGTAATATTGCCAAGATAAATATGCTGTAGGCTTTTCTTAACAGCAGGAAAACTACATTATTGTAATGTAAGCTTTTCCATTTAATTCCTAATCATCAGGTGTATTATATTATTGCCTGCTACTTAAATCATTACCACTTAGTACCTGAAATATCAATAGCTAAAGATTTCACCAATTGCTTTCATTTGCAACAAGATCTAAAGCCTTAATAAGCCAGAAAAAAAAAAAAAAAAAAAATTTTTTTAATTTAATATTGCTATTCCTTGCTCTCCAAAAAAAAAAAACAAAGCCATAGTGAAAACAACTCAGCACTTCCCACATGGAAATGGAAAAATCAAACTACTTCGGCGCTTTGCCAGTTTTGAAAACATTTTAAAATGAGGAGCCCCTGAAAGAAGCACAACTGTACAGTTTTAAGGTCTTTTAAGTCTGTTTCAATAAATGCTTCAAGAAAGGTAGAGTGAATAGTACAAATAGTGTAAATTACATAGAAAGGAGAAATAAACTGTGCCAGGTCTTTGAAATAAAACAAATATTTATGCTGATATAAAATGCCTGCCTCTCTGTATGATCTGTAAAACGGTAAGTAATTTTCTGTGTAGGCTACTTAAACAGCACTGTAAAATGTTTCGTGTTCCTTTGCTGCTAGGGATTTTCTTAAGAGAGAAAAACTTCATCTCATGTCTTTATCTGCACAGCTAAATTAAAATGCAGTACGTCAGCAGTCAATACAATAAGCTGGACGGTTACCGACAGTTTACCTGATAAAAATCAATCATTTCCTACAAAAAGGCTGACTTTGGTCCCTGTTCTTCCAGTTCTCTTCAGTGTATCTTCAGTGTTTTGGGTCAATCAAAAACTGGCTGTGGTTTGCTGACAGCTCATGTGGTTGGGACTAGTCTGCCCTCAACAGGGGTTTTGGGGAATGGAGTAGCTTTATAGGAAAAAAATGAATGAATATGTAATATAATACTTGGTGTGTGTCGTCACTGTCATTTGAATTGCATGTTCACTAAAACTGAATTTGACATAGTACAGATCTGGTAGAATATAGAGGAGCAGCACGTCAACTAGAAATTCATATATAATAGGAAAAATCTGACAAGTAATGCATGCTTTGTGTATTAACAGTAGCTTAGAACAACTCTGAAATGCCAGTGATTGCTACAAGCAGTCTGACACCATGGTGATAATTGCAGTTTAATATCACTAGACAGCAAACATGACTGCCACAGCTAATGGGAACATGGCTGTATTCAGAACCTGTGTGGATAGCTATCTGTCATGGAATTGCTTTTCAATGCATTTTCTCTAAAATAGCTCAGATTATTGCTTATGCATTTATATACAAATACATTCTGTTTATTTAACTAAGGATACATATTTGAGATTCCATTTGCTCTCTCTGCACATTTCTTAGTATGGCCTAATTTATTCTGCTTGGTGACTCAAGTGCAGATAAGCCATAAACTGATGCATGATACCAGATCTCCAGCACAATTGCAAGTTTGAGAAATACCAGCTGTTTTTGTCTGCTATTACTGGGACTCAGAGAAACAGAAGAAGGTATCATGTTGCATAAACTCTGGCAGTAGTAATTCATCTCCCCTTTGCCTCTGAAAAATCTGCCAAGCCGAACCTGCTATTAGAACTGTACTGCTTCACCTGAGACCTTAATGTTCCCTAGGCACGGTGCAATTAGGCAGAATTAACCACTTGTGTTTGCAGGCTGTAATGGGACTTCTAAACTTAGCTAGAACTATCTACTGAAAACTGATAAAGTGGTACCAGCATGTCTTCACAGACACCTGTACGTGTAAAATTCAGCCAAGCAATGTTTCACAGTGACAGCCAATGTAGAGAAAAACTGTATTTTGCTCCTATCAGAAAGTAATAGTCCTTTCATGAAATCCTCCACAGTCCTGAATAGTTGAATCAGGAAAGCTCATGGACAAAGGTAGAGAGTTCTCTCACTTAACTCTGGACTCACAAAATTGATCAAACCCACTGAAACTAGGTTAAATGCTAGAAAGCTAAATTTTTTACATCAAAATCTGGATGAGGTAAATCACACACTCAATTCTCTTATATTTTGCTAACTTCCTTATTGATGCTTTTATTTAAAAAGCAGTGATTTTCTCTCATGAATACTTATTATCTGGACTAATTTTCCTGGAAGCAGAAGGACACAGTCACGTAGTAGAGAGACTCTATGCAATTGGTAGGAACAGTTAATCTTTGCTTAATTCCAACCCGGCTGTCTGAAGCAGACTCAGATCTTCCTGGCATTTGTGCTCATGCTTAGCTTTTGCACTATCTGTCTCCAGAAAGAAAATAGACAAGAATGTAGAACAAGCAGTAACAAAAATAAACTGATAGCTAAGTGTTGAATACTTACTACATGCACATTTAAAGATCGTTCTTATAGTTGCATACAATGTTATTAAAAGCAAAGTCTGTGAGAAAAATAGAGTAACTTCTTACGACTAGAATTGCCACTTGAATTTTCAGTCCAGATGATTTCTGATAGCTGGGAAAAGCACTATCTACACCAGCCTCATCCTTTTGAATGGGTTAATTTATGCACTTATCTTTTACCATATGTCTCTAAGTTTATTATTTTGCTTACCCTCCGGCTGGTATTGTGCTATGATTGTTACCGTCTGCCCTGCTCCCTTGAGTGCAGCTGCAGCCTGCTCGTGGGTAGCACCTCGAAGATCGATGCCATTCACCTACAGAAGGAATGCAAACAACAGATCTGAGTAGTTAGACACTAGACAGAAAGACCAAGGTTTTTATTTAAACACCTGATGCTTGCTCAGATGCAAAAGTGAAGGTACAAACTCAGAAATGCAGAGAGGATACTATGACTGCACATGAGGATCTGCACTAATATGGCACACACTGGTGTCCCTATTTCTATAATTCCTCTGTCATTCCTATTATCTGATCACCTCTTTTGGGGTTTTCTCCTCTATTGAGTTTATTTTTGGTGGCCTCCTAATGAATTTTTTTTTAAATATAAGGTTTACAGTAAATTACAGTGTTGGAGAACATTGGAGGCAAAGAAACTGCTCCTTCAGCCAGACCTTGAAAGCCCATTCTGTAGCTTCAGGGAAACCTGGAAATACATGAAGCAAGTCTAACCAAAAAAACACTGATCAGAGAACTTAGAGAACTGAAATTTGAGCAACCTTTTTTTTCTCCTGTTGCCTAGAAATATAGCCCTATCTTGCATGGAGCTGTGAGCAGGGAGAGCTTTGCTACCTCTTCCAACCTGACATCAGTAGGTATTTTCATGGAGCCTCTCTTATTTCATAGAATCAATTGAACTGGAAGGGGCCCTAAAAAGTCATCTATTCCAACTCCCCTGCAATGAGCAGGGGCACCTACAGCTCCATCAGCTGCTCAGACCCCAGTCCAACTTCACACACTGAATATCTCCAGGGATGGGGCATCCACCATCTCTCAGGGAAACCTGAGTGCCTCACCACCCTCACTGTAAAAAACTTCTTCCTTACATCCAATTTAAATTTCCCCTCTCTTACTTTGAAACCACTTCCCCTTGTTTTACCACAACAAACCCTGCTACACAGTCTGTCCCCTTCTTTCTTACAGCCTTCCTTTAGATGCTGGAAGGCCACACTCAGATATCCCTGGAGCTTTCTCTTCTATAGGCTGAACAGCCCCAGCTCTCTCAGCCTGTCCTCGTAGAGGAGGATTATCTAATGTTTATATTGTGCTGCATGAGCACTGGAAGTTTAACAGAGTTCTCAAAGTAGGGAAACCATTCCAAAAATATGGGATAGCTTTAAAACTTTTTTGATTTGTAGATGTGGAGTTAAATGCTTTGTCAGCAGCATCCCAAAGAAGAGACAGATTTGATGTATAAGATTATTAAATGCTCCAGTAATGTGAATCTTGCTTTCCAACAGGGCTGTTATTGTTTGGCTGTAGTGAGGTATTTGTGGTTATTTAATGCATTTGCTTTATTTATTTATTTATTTATTTGACTTTCCTCCTCACTTTTTAAAGATTTACACATCATAACATTTCAGTGAAGAACAAGAAACATTTGGCACACAAACATCAGCAGGACAGAAATCCATTTCCAATTGCTCAAGAAAAGAAAGGAGAAAACGAAAATGAAGTAAAGGGGTAAAAAGAGAGCAATGTCATAGATTTTGTGGCAAAGAGACCTTTTTTGTTATTTTTATGAAATACTGAAACAAAATGGCTAAGAATTTACTGAAAATATGAAGTTAATTTTATTTAGATTTTGACAACATTTTAATTGTTGCAAAAATAAATCTTATTACATAGAAGTTTACAAATTACAGCTGTTCATTTATTTTGATCAACTATGTTTTCAAACTATGTTTTCAAACTGGCCTGTTTTATCTTGCTGTCTTTCACTAAATCTCAGAGAACCTGATTTATTTATTTATTTATTTATTTTGGTTGAACACATATTTAATTATTATTTACATGAAAAAAGTATCACAGAACAACAGAATGGCCAGGGTTGGAAGGGACCTCAAGGACCATGAATCTCTGCCATATGCAGGGCCACCAACCTCCACATTTAATACCAGACCAGGCTGCCCAGGGTCCCATCCAATCTGGCCTTGAACACCTCCAGGGACGGGGCATCCACAACCTCTCTGTGCAGCTGTTCCAGCACCTCACCACTCTCTCTGTCAAGAACTTGTAGTAGTCTTTACTGATATGTGAGAACTATTTCAAATATTAGACTTTGACAATCTTATGTGTGATAGCAGTTATCTAAAAACACTAGATTCCAAGAAGACTGCATTATGCCATAGAACTGCTGACTAAATGCAGATATGTAATTGTCTAGCTGAGCTTTCACATTTCTGAAAACATTATTCTATAAGACCTAAAGATTTGCTTATTAGACTTGTATAACAAATACAATCTTCTATAGTTTTTCTTTTTTTCTTGATAATAATGAAGGAAAAAAACCACATTTTTTTCCTAAGCAATTAATCTTTCATTCCCCCAAATACTTTTTAAGTTTCACAATTTGATGATCACTTAATGTTTCCCCATTATATTTGCAAAATGGATTTCTTCTCATTCCTTTAAAAAAAATATAATGAAAAAATGATTTGAATTTCATTTGCCTATATTATTCCAATGTCATTCATAGCTATAGAATATGTAGAACTTTAGAGAAGCATGATCTGTTGCAATCTTTTATGATTATAAAAAATGAATATACACTACCTTATCCTCAGATTCAGAAGGGAGACAAGTAAATGTGGAAACAGCATACCAAAACAACATAACCTATTTAAATCTTATCTTACTCATATCCTCGTGCATATTGTATAATGACAATAATGATGTGAAAGAGGAAATGAATTATAAGTTGCCTCACAGAAAAATAAATGAATTTTTGAGCTCCTGTGCCTGTATGTGAATTTCACAGTAGAGGGTATGAATGCCACTACTGTGCTGATTATGCCTGCTTCATCCGCACACCTGTCGCTTTGGGGACCCTTTGGAGCAGCACAGGAAGGGCATGGGAGGCAGCACAGTACCGAAGGGAAGGATTTTCAGCAGACAGGAGAGTGGATGACTGATAGAGTATACACAGAGATAAGAAACTTTAAGGAACATTGGAGTAGCTGCTACAAGGTAATAGTATAGGCTGGAAGACCACCATATCTAAATAAACATTGAAAGCAAATATCTGTGACAGAACATAATAATTTTGAGAATAGACATGTATGGATCTCCATGTTGCTACAATCTACCAACTGAAGGTGAGCTGTGACAATTACTCAGTAGTTCTATGAAATATTCTGGATTTGCCAAATATTAGCATATTTGGCTTACATATTTAAAAGCACTATATGCTGATAATCTGATAATGTCTACATTTTGTTATTTAAGTGTTCAAAATTGATATTATTTTTACAGTTTATATCAAGAATGTGTACAGTAAAGTGAAAATCTTCACTTACAAGTAATTCTCTTATGCCCCTGAAAAGAAATGCTGACCATGAAGCAAATGTAAGATTATAAATTCCACAGTTTCTCCAATAGGAGAGTCCTCATCTTCTGGTTTGAAAACAATGGCTGTGAAAATGCCTGGTGGAATCTTTCCAAAAAATGAACCAAAGGTTCAATAATCCATCAGGATTGTATATGTGAACCTCATGTTTAGTGGATGGAAAACTAGAAGACTCCTGCAAAAATATTGATATAACATCAAAAGAGGAAATAATTGCATACATTCTAAAAGAAGAACTGAGAGAATCAGAGTTTTCAGCACCACAAAATCATTTATGTTGTAACGAATGATACTGACAATGCCTAAAGACAAGCATAGTGTTATATGTTAGTCTACAACCTCTGTAGAGAACACAAACTTCCACAAATGAGACACAGTTTAGACTCTTGCTGTGAAAGCAAGAGGTTTTGTGCCCTACCTTTACTCAGGGATAGTACTGTGACATTTAATGCTGAGCATAGGCACATCAGCACTACAGTTACTCATTTAGTCAGTGCTTTAGTCATAGCTTTGGTGTCTCTAGAGGCCTGATGAGAATCTTGTCTATGTCATGCCATAAAAAAACCTCAGGCTGGAGCTGGTGTCTCTGAAAAAGACAATTTTGAAGCCAAGTTATCTTTAATAATATGCTAGCCTTTTATCTCTGTGATTTTGTTGTTGTTGTTGTTTTTTTTTTTTTTTTTTTTCTTTTTCCTCAATATCTGGAGTCCTCGAGAGACTCCTGAGAAAGATGCAGTATGAACTGAAGGAAAACATTAAGGAACATTCCCGAATTTCTGAGCTCCTGAGCTGAGGAGAAGGATGTGATGTCACTAGTTAGCATTAGCAGCATTAGAAATCAGTTTGTTTAGGATTAAGCTTGAGGACTGTAAACTTGTGAAAGCAAATTTCTCTTAAGCAAAACGTGAAACAACTGTGGTGGTCTATAAAAGTTGTATTAACAGAACATCATGCTTTAAAAATCATTAATGAATCATAATAATCTTTCTATAGATAAAAGAATGTATGAAAGGAAAAGAAAGTACATGCTTATTAACAATCTCTATGATCCTCTAGTCCAAATGTCCACCTACCACCAGTACTGCCCACTAAACCATGTCCCTAAGTACTAAATCTACACTGTTCTTAAACATCTCCAAGGACGGTGATTCTACTGCTTCCCAGGGCAACTTGTTAAAAAAATAAAAAATAAAAAAAAAATAGAGCTACTAAAATAGCAGTTGATTTCTTTCTACCCTTCGGTCCTGTTAGAAGAAATTATTTTTTAGGATGCAAACACTACATATTATAATGACTAAAACTCTCTGAAATCAAGTACACTTTCATATTAGGACATGGGCTGGGATGAATGTCTGGGAGGACATTCAGGTCTGAGTGGTTGAAATGAAAATAATGTGGAAAAGGAATGTCAGAGATAACACATCAATTCTATTTCAGCAATTTTTTATCAAGACAATAAACAAACTAGATAAAAAACCCTAAATAAATGACCTTACTACGCTGGATGGCTAAATAGAGATCTCCTTCTTATAGATACACAACTGCAGAATAAAATCAAACAATTATTGCCTAATTGACAAGTACGATACTGTTTACGTACTGTATTGTTCACCAATGCCTGTCACAAGATCTCACTATGGAATAATAAATGTTGAAGTTCTAACTTTAATGATTTTTAAATTACCTAGT